TAGTCGGTACGCCACACTACGGAACTCTACGCAGTTCCAGTGGCTTAAAGAATAACTACCGGTATAGTTGGATCGTTTTTGTTTTTTTATATAAGGCCAAATTAAAAAAAAAACATGTTTAGCGTCCTGTTTTTTCGAAAAAATGGGAAGGAGGCCCTTTATTTTTTCTTTCAAAATGGCCGCTCCGTACATTTTCCCTGACATTCAGCCTATTTTTCAAGATGGCGGCCGAATTTTTTTTTTTCTTTTTTTAAATCAGAAATACATTTTAGCAGTGCTTTTCATGTTTTTTTTCTTTCAAAAAAAAAAAAAAAATTTAAAAAAAAAAAAAAAAAAAAAAAAAAAAAAATAGGAGGCGGCCCCCAAAAAGGAAGCAGGCGGGAACGCTGTTTTTTTTCTTTCAAAAAATAAAAAAAATAAAAAAAATAAAATATTTAAAAAAAAAGCGGGCGGGGACGCTAAACATGTATATTTTTTTAATGGCCTGAATGGCAAATAAAGTTCTTGGTGGTTTTAATTTAGACAGTCTCTATATATCTATTTACACCCCCCGCCCCCCTCTAGAATCCCGCGGATTTCCGCGGGTCCTGCTAGTCCATAGTATAATACGCTAAGGCGTCGAGGGGGGTATCCGGGCTCCATTTTACGGCGCCCAGATCTCCCCTCCCGCCCGCCCCCGGGCGCCGCCGGGCGGTCCCGCGGACGGACGGGGTTTCAATCTACGGAATTGGCCACGTCCCGGCCCGGTGCGACGTCCCGGTCGTCGTCGACGTCGTCGATGCGTCCGCACGTCCCACTTATCCGTCACGAATTTCATGCTTTAGCATGAAACGGAAGTGGACGAGCGGTCTGAGGCGCCGGCTGCGTTCGATTCGCCGGCAGCTCTTGCACTTTTTGCACGCACGGGTTCGATCCCGCCTCCGTCTCAAGTGTTTTTTTTCTTCCCCGTGTTTGTTTTGTATATTTTAGATGTTGTAATCTTTACCATTTTTTAAATTTTGATTAAAATGTAGACCTCATATTTAAAATTTAAATGAGTCGAGTCTTTATTTGATATTTATTAGCTTATTTCATGATCAGCGCAACAGATGTCTTCCCATCCACGTCCAAACTTAGAGACCTATTTCCATCATTATTGCCGGGATTTTTATATAGTTTTCGTGAGTGGAGGTATGAAATCAAAGCTTATTTTGTGCTTATTCTGGCCATGTTTACTCAGTTTTGATTATCATTTATTAAAGGAAAGTTTTCACAAGAAAATCAGAGAAAAACATCGTTCAGTTTCAAGAGCTCTGCCGTACGCATACAGTGTGTAGTGCAGTGCAGCTGCGCTGGCTGCTCGACTGAGCTGAGTGAGTGAGTGAGCTGAGCTAGCTATACAGAGTCGAAGAGACTATGAAGGGCCAAACATGCCAATATTCGACAACTATACGCTATATTATGTATCCATCCATGCGACTATTTATGTCTATCCATTCATTGAAGTAGGCCTACACGTGAACACAACAGCGGGCAGGCCGAAGTGCCATAAGATCGTTGGGGGGAGGGGGGGGGGGCAAAATTTTTTTTTTGCATCTTACATGTTACAAAAAAAAATCTGCATCTTACATGTTACATGCAGACCCCACAAAACATTTTTCAAAGTATGGGGGGGGGTCAGGTAGATCGAAGCGAGTTGAGTGTAGGCGTGGGGTCCACGGGTTTCAAGGGGCCATAAACCCCGAAAGCTCGGGGGGTTTAGGCGTTTAATTAGGGTCAGATGAGCATATTTTCAATACTTTATTTGGCGTGGGGTCAATACGTGGCGTTGCGTAGTGTTGCGTACCAACTACGCTGACCTACGTTACTATATGCTGGGGGACGGAAAGGGGTACGCAAGATGAACGAAAACAATTCAACATGTTTAATTTTTTTCGCGTACTTTCGGCGTAGAAACTTGACGCAGAAAGTACGCCTTTTTACGCAACACTACGCTACATGACTACGCAACAGTACGCTACCCTACGCCAGATTGACAAAGCAGTAAAAGCTTTCCACACAGTAAGCAACCATAAGCAAACCTGTACGCCAGCCTACGCATAACCTACGCAGGGACTATTTTCCCATTAATACGCAGCCTAATTTCTGCGTAGTCGGTACGCCACACTACGGAACTCTACGCAGTTCCAGTGGCCTAAAGAATAACTACCGGTATAGTTGGATCGTTTTTTTAATTTTATATAAGGCCAAATTAAAAAAAAAACATGTTTAGCGTCCTGTTTTTTCGAAAAATGGGAAGGAGGCCCTTTTTTTCTTTTTTTTTCTTTCAAAATGGCCGCTCCGTACATTTTCCCTGACATTCAGGCTATTTTTCAAGATGGCGGCCAACAATTTTTTTTTTCTTTTTTAAAATCAGAATTACATTTTAGCAGTGCTTTTCATGTTTTTTTTCTTTCAAAAAAAAAAAAATAATAAAAAAAAATAAATAAATAAATTTTAAAAAAAATAGGAGGCGGCCCCCAAAAAGGAAGCAGGCGGGAACGCTGTTTTTTTCTTTCAAAAATAAAAAAAATAAAAAAATAAAATATTTTTAAAAAAGCGGGCGGGGACGCTAAACATGTATATTTTTTAATGGCCTGAATGGCAAATAAAGTTCTTGGTGGTTTTAATTTAGACAGTCTTTATATATCTATTTACACCCCCCGCCCCCCTCTAGAATCCCGCGGATTTCCGCGGGTCCTGCTAGTCACTATAAGTAATACGCTAAGGCTCCGCGGGGGGCGCGACGTCTCCGCGAGCCTTTGTATTCTATTGTTTTTTAATGAGATCGCCGACCGAAGTTGGTGCAGCTATCTCCTCCTGAACCCTCCCCTCGGGTTACCGGTGACCGGTGCCGTCGTCCGCGGGAGAGTCAACTCTGTGGAATTGGCTACACTCCGCCCGAGGTCCTCCTCCGTGTCGACGTCCAGGGCGAAAACAGACGCGACATGCATAATGCAGGATATGCGTGACGACAGAGAAACCTCATGGATATTCAACATAACATCCGTAGACACACGACCGATGACTATCCACTCACATTAAGTTGCGTATTAAATGCATGCTGAATGGGTATGACTTACCCCGTGTTAGGTATCTTTCTATAGGATGTGCTTTGTTGTAGCTAGGACGTGCTTTGCATATAGTAGCTGCACAAGAGATGAACGGGGCTTCCCGTCGACGTCCAAACTTAGAGACCTATTTCCATCACGATTGCCGCGATTTTTATATAGTTTTCGTGAATGGAGGTATGAAATCAAAGCTTATTTTGTGATTATTACGGCCATGTATACTCAATTTTGATTATCATTTTCTAAAGGAAAGTTTTCACAAGAAAACCAATGGACTGACAGTTCAGTCGCAAGCTGCTTTCATTCGATCAACACACAGTGCAGCTCCAACACCGGCACCGCGCACCGCAGGCGTCCGGCGCCGGTGTTCGAGCTTGCTGGAGTTACGCTGAAGTGTGTGTGAGTTCAGCTAAGCTGAGCTCGAATCGAAGAGATTTGACACTTTGAAATTGTTATTGTTGCTGCCGCAGGATCAAAATAACTCAACGTTGAAACGGATGTTCATTTTCTGGTGACGAATGTCTTTATTTGACTTAACGATTGTCAAAACAAAGTAACAGTGATGAACAGTGCCGTGAAAACTGTGAACATAAAAAGTATAAAATAGCACAGAATAATAAATACCGTGCGAAAGATACAAATATATGTACACAAGTAAATATACAGATTACTTGTCAATTTAAAGAGTTGATAAACCAGATAGATGTTCTTAACGAGAGTTGTTCATACAGATATGATTTGTCAGAATGAGTATAAAAAGGGTTCATGATAAAACATTTATGATATGAGCTACAAGTCTCTTACGAGAAATTTGATAAACATGCATTAAGAGCATACTAGTTAAGACTATGAATATAAAAGCAAGTTTTATATGCTACTGATTTACAGAGAATTCTTATTCACGAATAATTACTCAAACATGAAATATTCAAATGGCTTTCCATAATTTAGCGTTAGATGTAAACAATCTCACGTGTGTGGAAAACTAGCTCACTGAACGCTACTAATCACAACATGAAAAAACACTTATAATGTATCAAAATTACAAACTGATAGATCATGTAAGTAATATGAAATTGTTCTAAATACATTTCTGCCATAACATACCTCGTTGGCAGGACTTTTCCATCCTTGGGCAGCAAAATATACCTTGAAACTTTGGCGTTTCTTGAAGACCCCACAAAACACGTATTGCTTGGGCCAGGTCGTAATTCAGAAAAGCCAAGGGTCAACGCGTTCACCGAACTTATCGGCACACGGATATCAAATAATTTGTCCAACTGGAATTTTACTTAAAAAGACCAACGATTTAGTTTTGACAGAATTTACTAATGTTATTCGCATTTCAATGAACATTACTTTACATTTCAGTACATAATTAATGATAATAACTTATTTCTTATGCTTGAATGTATGGAACTATTTTCTCGTGCGTACTAAAAATGTGTTTGTAGGCCTTTTATTGACATTGACCCGCGCTAGGCATGCGCTGTAAATCTTTCTTAAGTAACAAAGAGAAATTACTTAAAGGGCGATGCACATGTAAAATAGGTGGTGCTATGAACAAAAATTAAAAATACTAATGACAAATTCTGGCGGCAGCCACACTCCCACCCAAATCATCTAACTGATTTTTCAAACAACAAAACTATCTATTTGAAACAAAACAAGGAATTGACCGACTTGCAAAATTTATAAATACAAATGGTCTTCCCCAAATTGAGAAAATATTTCTTAGAATGTCAGGGCAGGATGAAAGTCCAGGTTAGTCAAAGCCATTTGTCTGGGTAAAAGTGAATGTCAGCTATTAAAGTCAAGCTTAGTCTTCAATCGCCTTGTCGGTGCTGCGGATCAAAACTACCAGTTTGTGTACTGGCCTTTCAAGAGTTGTCCTCTTATTTACTGGCTTACCTTTTTGTCCAAGTCTGGGGTCGCCATGAGAAGTCGCACCTTCCGCACTAGACCATCATCACTGGACATTGTTTCCATGACTCTCGCAACTCTCCAATCTGTCCGACAAATGGCTTCATCTTTCAAGAGTACTATGTCGTCTACGTGCACATTGGTCTTCTTTTCAGTCCAAGTTTTTCTTGGTTGAAGCGTGTGCAGGTACTCCTTCTGCCATCGTGTCCAGAACAACTGTGTCAAGTATTGGACTCGACGCCATCTTTTGCGGAGATAGATGTCCTCCCTTTCAAAGCTTCCAGGTGGAGGCAGTATAAGACCGGATTTCATGGTCAGAACATGATTGGGAGTCAACGGAAGAGGACCATCAGGACTTTCCAGGTTATCCACACTCAATGGACGGCTGTTTACGATAGCCATGGCCTCATAGAGAAATGTCCGTAGAGAGGAGACATTCAACTGCGTTCCGCACTGTTCCAATAATCCATTGAGAACATTGCGCACATTTCTGATTTGTCTCTCCCATACACCTCCCATATGGCTAGAGGAAGGAGGATTCATTTTGAACTCACAGTTCTGCTCCAGAAGATTGCGGGCGACATGGTCCGCATCCATCTCACGGAGAGCTTGTTTCAGTTCATGCTTGGCTCCAACAAAATTGGAGCCCTGGTCACACTGAATCCGCCTTACGTTTCCTCGAATAGCAATGAAACATCTCAGTCCGTTGATGAATGCATCGGATGACATGTCATCCAATACTTCCACATGAATGGCTCTCATTGCCATGCATGTCAGGATGAGGCCATAGCGCTTGAGCTCTTTGCGCCCTTCTTTGATTACAAATGGACCAAAACAGTCCAGACCGCAATAAGTGAAAGGGGGCGATGGCTCAAGTCGTTCACATGGAAGGTCAGCCATCTTCTGTCCACCCAACTTGCCTCTTAGTCTAATGCAATGGGTGCATGTGCCGATCAGAGATGAGACAATGCTTCTGCAACCGATGATCCAGTATCCACTTGATCTGATTGCGTTGATGGTCATATTTCTACCTTGGTGAGAAATCTTCGCATGATAGTGAAGTGCGACAAGCATGGAAAGTCTACTACCCTTCGGAAGGATAATAGGGTGCTTAACTCCATACACCATTTCAGACCTCTTCATGCGTCCTCCCACCCGTAGGAGGTCTTGTTTGTCAAGAAATGGATCTAATTGACTCAGGCGGCTAGATTTTGACACAGCATGTTTGTCAGATTTGATTTGCTGTCTTTCATCACAGAAGGCTTCTTTCTGGACAGCATGCAGGAGATTTCTCTCAGCGACTCTTTTGATCTCAACATCATCTATGTCATGTCCCTTGCGCCTGTAACAACACCTCACTAGTACAGCTACCGCTCTAATAGCGCTGTCCAACATGGCGAAGCGGTTCAACCTATCTTCAAATGACGTAAAGGTTGAAATCTTGGTCTTTGACATTACTGTATGTACTGTCGAAGACTTCACTTCAACGTCGTCAGGAGAAACCTCTAGTGTGACATCTTGCTTAGCAACTTCACTTTCCCAAAGGAAGTCTGGTCCTCCTAACCAGTTTGACGAAAGAAGTTCCTCTGTTGTCAGTCCACGTGATGCGTAGTCAGCTGGATTATCACCGCTAGTAACATAATTCCACTGACTACAACTTGTGGTTCTCAGAATACAATCCACTCTGTTCGCAACGAACATGTGGAAGCGCTTAGACTGGTTGTACAGGTAACCCAGAACAACCTTGGAGTCGGTCCAGAAGATATTCTTGACTGAGCTGTAGTCTAGCTCCTTATTCAGTATTTTTGCAACCTTGGCAGATAAGGTTGCTGCCTGAAGCTCCAGTCTGGGGACGGTAGACTGCTTGAGCGGTGCTACTCTCGCCTTTGCCATGGCAAGAGAGCAGTGGACTTGCCCCTTTGATTTCGTAATCTGACATATGAACATTGTCCATATCCAGATAATGAGGCATCTGAGAAGTGGTGCAATTCCACTTCCTCAGCCTCTCCGAAATCTTTGGGCTGGAAGCAGCGAGGAATCTTTGCAGTTTCTAGCTTCAGGATCTCCTGTCTCCATATTTCCCATCTTGTCCGAAGATAGTCAGGAACGGGATGATCCCAATCCATCTTTTGTTTGCACATTTCCTGCAGAATCATTCTGCCAGCAAGGACAACTGGTGCAATGAGACCAAGGGGATCATATACAGACGCAACTGTAGCTAGAATACCTCGTCGAGTGAGGGGTTGATCCTTCAGAGTAAGTCGGAAGCAGAACTCATCAGAACTGACGCACCACTGAAGCCCAAGAGCTCTTTCGATTGGTGAGGTTTGTTCACCTAGCTGAACACTTGCATTCGTGACAGTGGCACGTTCCGATTTTGGAATGGTGCTGGTTACGTCCTTGCTATTGCACACAAATTTGTGCAGACGTAGATTGCCTTTAGCACACATTTGAGTTGCGTCCTTGATTAGCACAGCTGCTTCCTGTTCAGAAGACATGCTTTTTAGGCCATCATCGACATAAAAGTTCCTCTTGAGGAAGTTGGCTGCACGGTCACCGAGTTTCTTGTGGTCCTCCGCAATCTGTTTTAAGCCAAAGTTGGCACAGCCCGGAGATGAGGTTGCCCCAAAGAGGTGGACCTTCATCCTATGATCTACTGGGGTCTTGGAGAGATCCCCATCCTCCCACCACAAGAAACGCAGATAGTTTTGATGTGGATCTGCAACCTTAAACTGGTGGTACATCTTCTCCACATCGCACATGAATGCCACAGGACCTTGGCGAAATCTCAACAGGACACCGATGAGAGGATTAATCAAGTCAGGGCCTTGCAGGAGATGGTCATTGAGGCTTGTCCCAAGATACCTGGCGCTACAATCGAATACAACCCTGACCTTGCCAGGCTTCTTAGGGTGATATACCCCATGGTGAGGAATATACCACAAGCCTTTGTCACTACTATCACCGACCATCTCTGCATCACCGCGTGCCAAGATCTCCTTCATGAATACCTTGTAGTGACTGTGATATTCAGGTTTCTTCAGGAACTGTTTCTTGAGACCTGCTAATCGACCCAAAGCAGCCTGTCGATTGTTCGGAAGAGATGGCGGTCCTTTCTTGAATGGAAGAGGCATCTCATAGAACCCATCCTCTCTCTGGCGTAAACCTTCGGTGACAACTTGAATGAATTTTTTGTCATTTTGTGACATTGCATCAGCTTGTTCAGCTTCTTGGAAGTCCCTTTCCATGAGCTGAAGGAAATCCGATGCAGTCGCTTCCTTTAAGGGAGACTGGTAAGCGAATGTCACCTTCTTGATATCGATCGGGGCCTCTACCTTCATGCTGACTGTCCTGTATGTGTGGCCAAACGAATCGAAGCTGTTGGACAAGTCAGACTGACCTCCAACAATACTCCAACCAAGGTCTGTTTGGACAGCATACGGCTCACCATTTTGGCCTCGGACTGACGTCAGAGGAGCAAGGGCCTGTGCACAATTGTAGCCAATCAGAAGACCGACAGGACAGTCTTGTTTTGGCGCTATCATATCCTGCACACACACGAGATGAGGCCACTTGGAGGCAGTTTCTGGAGTCGGGATATGACTGTCGTCCAGAGGGATAGACTGCCTAGTAAATGTGGAGGGTAGACGAATTTTCTCCGAGGAATAAAAACCTCTGACACGAAGATTGTCATACTTGAAGGTTGAGATCGATATCTCATCTGTCAAAGTTGTCAACGACAATGTGGCAGGCTGGGATTGTACATCCAGGTCTTGGCCGACATCTTCGGAAAGGAAGGTGGTGTTTGACATGGAGTCTAGTAGTGCATACACTAGAACCTCCTTGTCAGGCCTCTCTGTACTAGAAAGGTACACAGGCACAATCATTGATGTAAGGTCACTACGTTCATCGCCTTGTACTTTGTGCGTTACAGCTTGAGGATTTGAGGTCGATGCGGTTTGAGCTTCCTTCGGTTGGCTTGATGCCAAGTTGGCCTTGTTCGAATCTCTTTGGTCCTCATGAAGGCAGCTTGGATGCCTTTTACTGCACTTCTTGCAGACCAGTCTGCTTTGGCAATATTTAGACATATGGCCTTTTTCAAGACAGCCATAGCAAAGTCTTTCATTTTTGATGAAATCCTTTCTCTGGGACATGTCTTTCCGAAGGAATTCCCGACAGTCATTCAGGGAATGATGTTGTCTCTTGCACAACAGACATTGCTTCTGTGAAGTTGAGCCAGACGTAGAGAGGGTTACCCGTTTTGAGACTGCGGTTTCCTGTTTTCTCTCTCTAGTCTTGCCAACATCCACAGTGAGCAGAGGATCATTAGCAATGTCTGCTTCGTTCCCAATGAAAGAAACGAAGTCAGCAAACCTAGGATAACAAAGTCGCTCCCTTTTTGTCTGTGCCACCGAGCGATTCCATCTATGGACGATATGATCTGGTAGTCGAGCAACCATTCGGTTGATCTCTCGTATATCATCCAGAATGTTGAGATCGACAATCTCAGCCTTGGCTACCAGACACTGTTGAAGGAAGTCTGCAAACCGCTGCAGCCCATTGTGATCCTTGCTGGTTATCTTGGGCCACACATCCAACTTTGTCCGAAAGGCTTCAGCAATAGCAAATGGATTGCCAAACCTCTTTTGAAGGGTGCTCTTTGCTTGCTCAAATGCATTTTCTGACCTCAGGAGAAAGTAGCCACTGACTGCCTCCTTTGCTGGACCACCAAGATACCTTCGAAGGTAGTGAATTTTTTCACCAGGAGGGATGCCTCTTCGCTCTACCAGAGTAGTGAAAGCCGACACCCAATCTGGATATTGGAGTGGGTCTCCAGTGAATATTGGCGGCTCCGGAACGGGTAGACGACTCTGAGCCAAGGCATCAGCGAGATCTAAAACTGGTGATCTTGGCTGGAACATCGGAGCTTGGGGATCAAGCACTACTTGCGCTTGCTGTGACACGATGGAGGCTGGTTCATCAATCAATTTGCTTTCTAACTTGGGAGATGCCCTTGGGATCACATCAGTTGGATTTGGCTGATCTTCGATCTTTTTGACAACAGTTTTACCTCCACGCGAGGATGAAGAAGAGACTGTGCTGGTTCCATCTTCTTCATCGTAGACTCTCATAATTGCTTCTTGTGCCTTGAGCTTGCCTTGTAGTCTTTCCTCTTCTAGTTGTCTTTTCAGCTCGGACATTTTGAAAACTACTTGCTTCCTCCTCATTTCTTCCTCAAGTTCCATTCTTTCGAGCTCCTTTTCCGTTCATTTTGAAGCTTCTGGGCTGTAAGCTCTTCTTGTAATGCAGCGGCTTCTGCTGCGACTGCAACTCGTCGTGACGATCTGGAAGATGTCCTCGAGAGTCGTGATTGTGTTGAGTGCGCCAACCGAATTGATGGTTGTCTAGAAGAAGACATGTTGGATACCTTATCAATATCCGATAAGATATTACGAACAGAAATAGAAGATTCATCCATTGCCTCAATAACCTCATCATCAATGGAGTCTTCATTGAGCCTTTTTAGCTCAACAAATATCTCCTTCAAAGAATTGAGCCTAGCAGTAATGTCAAGCTTATTCACTGCTAAGCTATCACCATCAATGTTTTGAGACAATAAGCTATTTCGAGTAGATTGTATGATCGAATGCAAATCTATATGTTCAACAAAAAACTTACCTTGAAGGTCGTCTTCTTTATTCTGCAATGCTTTCTCTGTCAATTTGACAGGACGAGTGGAGCGGCGAAGTGTTTCAGGAGGTAAGTTAGTCGAGTCAGTAGTCAAGTTATTTTCAGTTGGTTGTTGCCCTTCCATATTGAACGATATATTTTTGAGGTAAATAAACCAACGAGAAAATCAGTATTTGAGATCAAATTTAAATAATCTTGACCGAAATTTGAAGTTTGAATTTGAATCAAAGTTTGGAAGTGAAATAGAAATGGGCGTGTGGGAGTGGGCTGGTAACAGCAAATGGCAGTAGCTGATAACAAATAGCAAAGATAACTGCTTTAACCCAAATCTCAATTCGGGCACGATAAAAACACAGCGCTACGCAGGACATACAATTCGATACATTCAAGCTTTGAAATAATAAAAATATCAAACGTAGCATAGAATTAATGATATTATCATGAATCCAAATCAATTCCAATATCAACAAGGTAACCCGATTTCTAATCAATTTCAAATTATTATGACCTTTTGTTCCCTTGTTCTTAAAGGAAAACACTATCGGTAATCAGTTTCTTTTTAGTTTAGAATTTTTTTCAATCTTAATAAAAAAATATCCTTTCAAATGAACTTGATCATGTTATTTTGTCTCAAAATCATCTATAAGTGCACACACAAGGTTATTCTTGATGAGATGTTACATACACATAACAAATTCTGTAAACTTATCTCCACTCGTTAGATAAGTATTTTAAGAAAATTATAATCTTAGCTGAAAATTTAAATCCCAAACATCATAAGGGAATCAAGTCTTATGTTGTTTTAAATTACGTTATCCAAACAAATCAGAATAAATAGCTGTTACAATTCTGGGATACGAACCAAGACTCTGTTAGAGATCTTAAAGGTTTTAAATCTGAAATTCTCTCGAGAAGTTGATATGCAAGCCTAAATCAATCTTTAGCTTGTTTATTGCTTAAGTTTCCAAACGAGAAATTTCAATCGCATATAAATGTTCTAGTGTTCTTTCTTTGATTTCAATCTTCAATTATTTTGATGAAAATGAACCTGACATCCTTGAGCGATGATCAACCTCCAAGCCGTTTGATTGCCCGTGTCTTGCCGAGTTCCTCGTCAGCTTCCTTAGTGGCCAGGTGAGGACGAATGCAGTTCCAGACATCACATCAAATATTTGGCTTGAGTAGTTGATCCAATTATGGATTTCTCAGGTGTCATGTCCATCCGAGTTTTCACTGTTGCTGCCGCAGGATCAAAATAACTCAACGTTGAAACGGATGTTCATTTTCTGGTGACGAATGTCTTTATTTGACTTAACGATTGTCAAAACAAAGTAACAGTGATGAACAGTGCCGTGAAAACTGTGAACATAAAAAGTATAAAATAGCACAGAATAATAAATACCGTGCGAAAGATACAAATATATGTACACAAGTAAATATACAGATTACTTGTCAATTTAAAGAGTTGATAAACCAGATAGATGTTCTTAACGAGAGTTGTTCATACAGATATGATTTGTCAGAATGAGTATAAAAAGGGTTCATGATAAAACATTTATGATATGAGCTACAAGTCTCTTACGAGAAATTTGATAAACATGCATTAAGAGCATACTAGTTAAGACTATGAATATAAAAGCAAGTTTTATATGCTACTGATTTACAGAGAATTCTTATTCACGAATAATTACTCAAACATGAAATATTCAAATGGCTTTCCATAATTTAGCGTTAGATGTAAACAATCTCACGTGTGTGGAAAACTAGCTCACTGAACGCTACTAATCACAACATGAAAAAACACTTATAATGTATCAAAATTACAAACTGATAGATCATGTAAGTAATATGAAATTGTTCTAAATACATTTCTGCCATAACATACCTCGTTGGCAGGACTTTTCCATCCTTGGGCAGCAAAATATACCTTGAAACTTTGGCGTTTCTTGAAGACCCCACAAAACACGTATTGCTTGGGCCAGGTCGTAATTCAGAAAAGCCAAGGGTCAACGCGTTCACCGAACTTATCGGCACACGGATATCAAATAATTTGTCCAACTGGAATTTTACTTAAAAAGACCAACGATTTAGTTTTGACAGAATTTACTAATGTTATTCGCATTTCAATGAACATTACTTTACATTTCAGTACATAATTAATGATAATAACTTATTTCTTATGCTTGAATGTATGGAACTATTTTCTCGTGCGTACTAAAAATGTGTTTGTAGGCCTTTTATTGACATTGACCCGCGCTAGGCATGCGCTGTAAATCTTTCTTAAGTAACAAAGAGAAATTACTTAAAGGGCGATGCACATGTAAAATAGGTGGTGCTATGAACAAAAATTAAAAATACTAATGACAAATTCTGGCGGCAGCCACAGTTATCTGTTGGTTTGCATCATTATTGCCGCGATTTCAATATAGTTTCGTGAATAGATTTGCGAAACCTGGGCTTAGGATTAGTAAAAGTATTACTAATGTCTACGTTTTTAAACGACTGTCTGATTTTCTTGTGAAAATTTTACTTTGAAAAATGATTATCGAAATTCATGGTCAGAAATAATCACAATCTAGGGTCTATTATGTTACAGTTCTTGCATCAAATCATGCATGAAAACTTAGTTATTGAACTAGAAAAATGTTTTTTTTTTTAAATAGGCAATTATGAAGTAGGAAGCCTGAAGCCTTAGCCTACTAAACAAATCTCAACAAAGTGTAGGCCTATCCTTTTATGAATTAATGAAAAAGTAGCCCCCAGAAAAGAGCCCCCGAAAGTTGAAAAAGTAGCCCCCGAAAATTTCCCAAGAATTTGAAATGAAGCCTCCGAAATGATAAACTTAATTTTTTGCCTGCGCCCCCTCGAATCCCGCGGATTTCCGCGGGTCCTGAGTTGAGTGTATATCAAGGGCCCATAAACCCCCAAAAGCTTGGGGGTTACGTTCTTCAAAGTTGTGGGGGGGGGAGAGATCACATCGCAGCGAATTGAGTGATGAACGAAAACAATTCAACATGTTTAATTTTGTTCGCGTACTTTTGGCGTAGAAACTTGACGCAGAAAGTACGCCTTTTTACGCAACACTACGCTACATGCCTACGCAACAGTACGCTACCCTACGCCAGATCGACAAAGCAGTAAAAGCTTTCCACACAGTAAGCAACCATAAGCAAACCTGTACGCCAGCCTACGCATAACCTACGCAGGGACTATTTTCCCGTTAATACGCAGCCTAATTTCTGCGTAGTCGGTACGCCACACTACGGAACTCTTCGCAGTTCCAGTGGCTTAAAGAATAACTACCGGTAACAGTTGGATTTTTTTAAATATTAAATTTAAGGCCAAATTAAAAAAAACATGCTTATAGCGTCCTGTTTTTTTCGAAAAATGGGAAGGAGGAGGCCCTTTTTTCTTTTTTTTTCTTTCAAAATGGCCACTCCGTACATTTTCCCTGACATTCGGGCTATTTTTCAAGATGGCGGCCGACAATTCAGATGAATAGGGCTTAATAAGAGTCGAAAACGGTACGATGAATCGTCTTCCTTTCTCTTTATTGTGATGAAACGCCAAAATTTCCGCGCTTCGCGCGGAAGGGGAAAACTTTATTTAGACGAGTCGAGAACGGTACAACGAATCGTCTTCTTTCTCTAATAATTTGAGGAAACGTAAAAGCTTCCGCGCTTCGCGCGAGAGGGGGAAACTGAATTCAGACAATATTAATACGGCTAAAATTATTTAGAGTCGAAAACGGTACAACGAATCGTGTTCTTTCTCTAATAATTTAAGGAAACGTCAAAGCTTCCGCGCTTCGCGCGAAAGGGGAAAACTTCATTTAGACGAGTCGAGAACGGTACAACGAATCGTCTTCTTTCTCTAATAATTTAAGGAAACGTCAAAGCTTCCGCGCTTCGCGCGAGAGGGGGAAACTGAATTGAGACAAAATTAATAGGGCTCATTCGGAGTCGAAAAAGGAACAACGAATCGTGTTCTTTCTCTTATAATTTAAGAAAACGTCAAAGCTTCCGCGCTTCGCGCGAGAGGGGGAAACTGAATTCAGATGAATAGGGCTTATTAAGAGTCGAAAACGGTACAACGAATCGTCTTCTTTCTCTAATAATTTGAGGAAACGTAAAAGCTTCCGCGCTTCGCGCGAGAGGGGGAAACTGAATTCAGACAATATTAATACGGCTAAAATTATTTAGAGTCGAAAACGGTACAACGAATCGTGTTCTTTCTCTAATAATTTAAGGAAACGTCAAAGCTTCCGCGCTTCGCGCGAAAGGGGAAAACTTCATTTAGACGAGTCGAGAACGGTACAACGAATCGTCTTCTTTCTCTAATAATTTAAGGAAACGTCAAAGCTTCCGCGCTTCGCGCGAGAGGGGGAAACTGAATTGAGACAAAATTAATAGGGCTCATTCGGAGTCGAAAAAGGAACACGAATCGTGTTCTTTCTCTTATAATTTAAGAAAACGTCAAAGCTTCCGCGCTTCGCGCGAGAGGGGGAACTGAATTCAGATGAATAGGGCTTATTAAGAGTCGAAAACGGTACGACGAATCGTCTTCTTTCTCTAATAATTTAATAAAACGTCAAAACTTCCGCGCTTCGCGCGGGACGGGGAAGCTTTATTCAGATAAGGATTGAGAGTCGAGAACAATACACCGAATCGTCCGCTTTTTTTCATAATTTAATGAAACATCAAAGCTTCCGCGCATTGCGCGGGAGGGGGGACTGAATTCAGAAAAGGATAAACAGTCGAGAACGGTACAACAAATTGTCTTCTTTTTTATAATAATTTAATGAAACGTCAAAGCTTTCGCGCTTCGCGCGGGAGGGGGGGGGGGGGTTGGAGGGGGAACTTCATTCAGCCAAGGATTACCAGTCGAAAACGGTACAATTAATCGTCTTCTTTTCCTAATATTTTAAAGAAACGTCTAAGCTTCTGCGCTTCGCGCGGGAGGCCCATCACCCACATTCCCTAATGAGCGCGCTTTTAGTGATTGTCTTGCTCACTACCGCCTCTCCCTTAAATAAGATCCTAGCTCCGCGCCTGCATTAAAATATATAGCTATGATGCTGACTAAATTGAAGAAATAATTCGTATATTCATGTCGTCGAGGAAAATGACCATTTTGCGCATATGCAAGTACTATAGATAGTCCGTAGGAAAACCATTTAGGCTTCGGCCCCAGGTTTATAGGGTTGAATTTGTAGATATTGGGACATTTAATTTTGTCAGTAATTGGTGGCTAGTTTGTCGGTAATCGTTGGCCTCTACACCCCCCCCCCCCCCCCCCCCCCCCACTGAAAAAGGTCTAGCGACGCCCCTGATTACAAGTAGACCTCACCTCTTATAATTGCTCAATGCTAATTCACCACATGCACATCATGCACACATCTAAAAAGTATATCTCGTGAGACTCTTTGCAAGCGGTTTCATTAGAATGAATCGTGAAATTCCCTTCGTTGCTTGTAAATTTAAAAGAAATGCCGGGACACAGCCGTTACGCGTGTTTTTTTTTTTTACACGGCAGCCTGTGATTTTACCAAATACGATAGGATTAGGTAGCTCGGCTATTCTCCGAACCTATTCGAATTTTGTATAGACACAAGGAAAGAAAAACATCCAACGATGATCCTCGTAAAATTAATCTTGCCATGAAACAATAATAAACAGAAGGATATGGATAACGTAGATTTTACTTACAAAATTGATGTCACAGTTATCTTCTTATAATAATACCGCCTTCTTGGGTGGAATATAATTGGGTCATATGCAGCTGCCGAAGGTCGATCATACTTCGCTTATTAGGATGTTGTATAAACAATCATATCATTTATTCATATACTATTATTGCAACCTTTGTACACATGTTTTCCTCTACCAAACATCAATACGTTTTTCTTTACTTAAGGTGTCATTAAGGTGTCATTCAATCCGTATCCTCAAATGCACACCTCATTATGAAAATCCTTGTAATTCCTTACAATATGTGTATAGTATTTTGAAAAGATTTAAAAATGTTTTCACATGTTTTAGTCTCATTATTTATATAAATTAAAAGCAACATATGACAAAAAAGTGTTTTCTCTTTCTTTTCTTCTTAGAACTGATTTAAAGATGTGCAGTGATATAGTTTGAAACGATTGATAATAAAAGTGTGGAGATCAAAAAATAAGTCTACAGGATATTTCAAACGGTTGTTTGAGAGAGATTTAAAAAGAAGGGGTCAAAAGAAGAAGGAAAGATAAGAATAGCATTTTTGAAAAAAAATAAAGACTGTATAGAGTAACTAAAGAGAGAGAGAGAGAGAGAGCAAAAGAGATGTTATAATTTTTTTTTTTTTCCCCCTCATTATCTTTCTTCTAAAAAGAAAGAGAATACAAAGCGTGGGAGGGGGAGGGAGGATAGAGCAACCGCGAACTAGAAATAAGGAGAGAGATGGAGAGGTGAGAGAGCAAAAGAAAGACTAATTTCTTATTCGTTACCATTCTACTTGCTACACAATCCTGTACAGCGGCGAGCAGAGAGGGTTTGAAGTCCACGCGCTTGCGTATTGCACGTTGATATACAGTGCGTCCCAGAAAAAACGAAACCGAGAATTATCGATGATTTATCATAACTTAATCACCGTTATAATTAATAAATGACACATATTTGTACAGCTTAGATCCTCCTCTTTCATTTGATGCAACTCATATGATGCACATTTCACGCATGAGTGATTGCAAACAGCCCGCCCCCCCCCCCAGGGGGAAAAACGTGTAAAAACACGTTTAATTTACTTTTTTTTTTTATAGATGCCCCCCCCCCTGAGCGTCAGGAGGGGGGGGGGGGGGGGAGGGGATGCAATTTTTCAAATTTTTGAGGGCCTCCCAAAAAATAGTGCTCACTACCCCCCGCCCCACCTCTAAACAATTAAAAACCTGTCTTCATTGCTGCTAACTTCATTGCACCCATTCGTGTTTCCTTTTTTTTTCTATTATTTTTTTAAAAGTAAAGTTAAAGGTAATACAAAGTTTTGGTAAATTTTGAAATTGGGTGGATAGTGAATCTTTACAATTTAGTATATTTGGATGCCCCTGTGGATGTATCATAAGCACTACAAAAATTAGCGCCTAAAACACTTCTGTTTTCGAGAAAAATTGAATATAAAAATTTACCGGTGCTCCCGGTAAATTTTGATAAATTTCAAATAGCGCGTATGGCCGTACAATGGTAGCTGCGACCATGAAAATCTCAGAACATGTAGTTGTGATATATAATTTCCAAACGGGAATAACTAATCGGTCGATTTTAGTCAAGAAACATTGTTTCATAGCTAAATTAATATCTTGACCTTGAGAGGGAGCTATACAACATAAAGAGTTTATTATTTATAATTTCATAACTTTAGACTCGATTTCAACCGCGCCAACGATCAATGAATATTGTAGGAACGCATATGCTTCCGAAATTGTTAATTTGAACCAAATTCATGACCCCATACGAAAACTTTGTAATACCTTTAAGCTCGGAATTCAGTTATAGTGCCATTTCACTCAAGATCATGATAACAATAAGTAAGTACACGTAAGCCTATAACAACAAAATGCTTACACACTTTTGAACATAGGTGAGGTGTCCCGTTTGTTCCTAAATTAAGTGTGCTGAAATTTAAATACCGGTAGGGGGGGGAGGGGAAGTGAGCACTAATTTTGTTTCTTCTTTGGTCACAATTTTTCAGGGGGAGCCGTCTTTTTTTAGGCCGGGGGGGGGCAAGTCCCGCTCGCCCCCCCCCCCTGGATCCGCGCCTGGGTGCAGGGAGGGGGAGTTTTCCCGCGAAGCGCGGAAGCTTTGACGTTTCATAAAAAATATGAGGGAAAGACGACGATTCGTTGTACCGTTCTTGACTCTTAATCCATAAAAATAATATTTGATTCATTGTTAATCCAAGATTTCTCTTTTTTTAAAGGATATCTTCAGAAATGTGCATCATGCATGTTATAAATATATGTTTGTAGTGATCTCTTTTCAGTCACAAAGAGAAGACTTAAATTAAATTACGGTCAGATGAATATCCAGGGGCCCGCTTTAGGGCCCTTGGTGGGGTCCAGGGGCAGAGCCCCCGGAAGCTAAGGGGTTTTTATATATTTAACTACGGTCAGATCAGCATCCAGGGGTCCGCCTTAGGGCCCTTGGTGGGGTCCACGGGGCAGAGCCCCCGGACGCTCAGGGGTTTTAGCTATTTAATAACGGTCAGATGAGCATCCAGGGGCCCGCCTTCGGGCGCATGGTGGGTACAGAGTCCCTGGAAGCTCGGGTTTTTTAGGTTTTTAATAACGGTCAGATGAGCATCCAGGGGCCCGCCTTGGGGTCCTTGGTGGGGTCCAGAGCCCCCGGAAGCTCTTTTTTTAAGGTATTTAATTACAGTCAGATGAGCATCCAGGGGCCCTCTTCAAGGCCCTTAGTGGGGTCCAGGGAGCAGATCCCCCGGAAGCTCGGGCTTTTTAGGCATATACGGTCAGATGAGCATATATTTATACCTCATTTGTGACATTGGCAGGTCACTTATCATTTCTCTCTCTCTCTCTTTTTCTTTTCTCTGTAACATACATTTACAAAAAGAGAGGGGTGCTCGAGCACCCGAGCCCAGCCGTTCTGCAGGCCCTGACATGAAAGCTTCTAAATAAGCATATTTTTCGCCCGACTGTAAATTTGGGAATTTCTAATTTTCCAACAAGCGCATACATGCGCGTACGCAGGGGGGGGGGGGGGGGTGGGGGGTGGGGGGAATGGGGTTAAACCTCCACCTTGAGTTTTTTTATGTGTATGTTTTGTGTAACCCCCCCCCCCCTTTTTTTTTTTTTTTTTATAGATAAAAAAAAAAAAAAAAAAAATTATGCCAATGGCTAACCTAAAAAAGGTGACCTTACTCCCCCTCCCCAACGGACCAAAATGTCAAATTTTCAAATTTCAAGACAAAAAAAAAAAGTGTCCTCTTACCCCCCAAAAAGAAAAAAAAGTGTCCGCTTACCCCCCCCCCCCCCCCGAAAAATACCGGAAAATCATGTCATTTTAGCAACATTTGTAAATCACCGATATCGAATAAGATATACCCCCCTCCCCCCCCCCCCCCCCCCATCAGTACGCACGCGTTCGGGGGCTCATGTCTTCTCACCCCTATAACAAGAAAAAAAAACACGCTTTCCCATCCTCTCACAATATTTCCACGATATGCGCGAATCGCTATTATAAAAACCTCCATTGATAAATATAGGTGGCATGCGGAATGTTTAGGAAATTTAATTCCTGTTTACTCTCCTTTTCTTTGAATGGAATTTTATACGTGATTTAATTCAGGTTTTTATTATTGTTATGTTCTTTGGGGTTAAAAATACAAATCATCTTTACTCCTTTACTGCTTCTATGCCCATGCACATCTCTATAAGGAGATAATAAACGTTAAATGACCACAAAGAGCATTTTTTGTTGGTGTCCCAAAATTTGGCCGATCAATATTTTGTTTCATTGGGGGGGGGGGGGGGGGGTAAGGTCAGCTTTTTTGGGTCACCCATTACCACAAATTTTGTATTATTATTTTATTTTTATTTTCATTTTATTTTTTAAATTAAACACAAAAATTGAACCCCCCTGCGTACCCGCCTGGATACTACTTAGAAGATCTAAACAAAATCATGTTATCTAATTTTAATTTATAAAGATCATGACTTGATTATTATCTTTGGTTCATTTTGTTAGAAAATTACAGTAATTTAAACTGGATGACACAAGGGAGGATGCTACTAGCTGCTCCAAAAAGAGTGGACTGTTTACTGGTATCTTAAACTAGTCTGCCTACAGGGATATGGGCAAAGAAAAATAATAATGCACAGGAAACAGCACTTCCTCCTCATAATTCTTTTTAATGTAAATATTACAGTTCAAAATTAAGCTTTAAAAAAAAACTGTGTGGATGCAGATTACATGACATGTAAAACATGATGTAACATATTGTTGTATGCCCTACTAAAGAGCAAATTCTGAAAGAAAAGAGCAGGAATTGCCCTATTCATGACCTTCGGCGGTGCACAATATATATATATATATATCTATAGTCGAATGCATAAGTAATACATTCACTATAAAATAAAACAATTACAAAAAAATGTCTCTTTTTTTAAAGAACAAAATTGGAAACTACTGGTACTACGATATGTATGAAATCTAACAACCGTACACAAAATAGCTTTTTATAAGCCTTTACCACACACAATAATAAAAACGTTCAATAACAGAAGTACTTTCTTTAATAGATCATTTTGCAATTTTTTAACATTTTACAGATATTCCAACAATTCATCACACAATACAAGATTTAAAGCATTTTATGCATCTATTCTTCTAGCTATAAAATGGATTTAAAAGTGAAAAAATGTGTTGGTATAACTATAAAGATTGATGGAAACAAAACAAGCAGCCTTCAAATGGATAATTTTGTAATCGCTAATTTTCATCAACATGAAGAAGAAGCAAGGCTTAATGCCATACTCGATAAACTTTTGAATTATATTACCCTTTAAGTTTCAAAGTTATATTGATTGATCAAATTTGTAAATTCACCTTTATTAATTAGTCATTCATTTAATACACAGGACGTTTCGCCACGACAGTCTTCCGAGGCGTCCGATCGTGCCTTGTGTGAATAGGGCCTTACTCATAATGCCTGGGCAGAAGAAAAGCTTCTTTGTAAGCATGGTTACGGGGCCGGCATCTGCTTATGCCTGCCGGAGGAAGACTCGAAAGCTCGTGCTACTTTGCCATTGACCTGAATGGAGGGAAGAAAAAAAAGAAGCACGATTACTATGTACCTATCTGTTACAATATCGGGAGGTAAAGTCTGAATGATACGTAACTGTGGGAATTGGACACCATTTCAGTGTTTACCGTACCCTAAAATGGGGGTGAATCAATCACCAACAACCCTGTTTCACAAAACTTGTTTTCAATAACAATCTACAATAAAATGTTAAAAGCTACTGAAATCGTAGCATTTGATTGGCTGAGAGCAAATTTGTTATAGAACTTTATTTTTTTCTTTATGGAACAGCCCCCAAGAGCTCTTACGACCAACAGGTCTTATATATATCATCAAAATTATTGCTCTTAAGACTGAAATTGGAAGATGAATATTTACCATGGTGATCATCGAAAGAAGATCTTCCTCTCCCGCATGCTGTAGGATAGTTTCTGTCAAAGCTTGGATAAACCAGCTTCCTCTCTCTGCGTTCCTCCACGACACAAATCCTGTTTTAAAAAAGCATGTCAATATCAATATACAAGTCAAATTCTCTGACCCTTATCAATTCAATTAAAAAATTATTGTTATTATAGCACAAACATGGTTCATACAAATACAATTTTACATGAAAGAAAGCCATTTGCACAATAGATATATACATGTAAAAAACTAGCAATATAATAAATAGGACTTAGATTCTGTAACTAAAAACCTCCCTTTCCTTTCCCTCCATTTCCTTTCCCACCCTTTCCTTTCCCTCCCTTTCCTTTTCCTCTCTTTTCTCTCCCGGCCTCTTCTTTTTTCAAAAAGCGTATAATGTCATCTCCATTCGATCATTTGGTGTCCCATATGTTACTACTTATTATGGTAGCAATGGTAGAGCAGAAAATATGGTCTTTTATAGACTGGTGTCTTTTTATACAGGTGGTCGCTGTACGGCACTGGCAGGGTTGACTCTATAATATAAACCAAAGCTGAAATTATCACTTGATTTTCTTTGTTTTCTACGCGCAAAAGATACGCCATGCACGACCCTTTTGATCCTTGGGTTATCAATTTCTGATGGAATTTGTTTGCATGGTAGGCGTGGTAGGCAGGAATGATGTACCGTCATTTGCCCAATTACATTGCCTACATTCTAGATCCTGTTTTCATCAAACTCCTTATTGGCTTTAAAATCCCCCCGAATCTTACCTGGCCCAGTTGCATATGCAAGGAGCATGTCGCTTTGACTGGGCACCTTACTACGACTGGATGCAAAGCTATCGGTTGAATCTAATTCCATTTTAAGCATCATCTTGGCCAGCTCTTCGTCATTAATCTGTGCATCGACCTGAGGTTTGGCCTGAGCGTTGGCCTGCGCATCACTTGCGGCTCCATCAGTTGGGGGTACAGCTTGGCCGTCTGTTGCTTCTACTCCATCGTCTAATTTCTCTGTCATTGGCAAGAAAAAAGGGTAAAAGATTTTATTTTACCTTCGACGCCTCCTACAAGGAAACCTGGGACCCGTTTCACAAAGCCTTTTTTCAATGACAAATAACAAAAATCAGTGACAAATCTGCTGATAACCAACCAAACCGATGACAAATTTCGTGAAAAGCCCCTCAGTTGATTTCATACAATGAGCTTGAAAAGAGACTCTATCAAGTTTGATTCCAAATATCATGTACCATATAAAGCCTGGAAAAGCCTGGAAAAGCCTGTAATGGAGATGTGTCAGGGTATAAAAACTGGCATCATATTTTTTGTTTAACGAAAAATGGGCGTCCAGACTTTGATTTTTGGCGCCCATGTGTCCCGAGCACCTGTTAGTTTTGAGCCATGCTCAATAGAATGCCTCAAATAGCAAAACCACATTCTTTTGAAAACCTCATGGAACATTGGATGCAAACTTTTTGAACTAACTGTTTGGAGTTATCTGTCTCGACACATATAGTCACACTAATGTGTTCAGAGATTACATGCATTAAAAAAGTAATCACATAATTTTAAGTCACAAAGGCTCAACAGCCTGGATAATAAAGTCTGCCATCAGTAGAATGTAATAGGGTTAGGATTAGACCTTAGGGTAAGGTTACTTGTTTGTTGGGGTATTCTGTAGTTTTCCACTTCTTTTATTATTCATAAAGGGGAAAAACAATCAATTTGCTGCTTCTTCTATCTGCCGTGTGAAATGCAGGACTGTACAGGTCTGAATTATTTGTTTTGGGCCACTGCAGTGCTCACAACAGTGTTTTTTTTAACACGGTGTCTTCACATTTCCAATACTATCAAACATCAGAGTGGTCAACCTTAATTAAGGAACCTCTGAATGATAAAAATCGCATTAAACATAATTCCTCAAGCCTAAATCTTAACAGAAATGAGTACAGAACAGTTCTTCATCATTTACTCCTGGTGCTGTACACTCAGATCTTTGAAAGCTGTACACTGACAGAACATCTCCTCAGTATGGTGGTGTGACCAAAGTTCGCGCGTGACCAAAGTTCGCGTACTAAACACTAAAAGCGCTTATAACAGGAGAACGATACGCGATGCCTGTGTGGGACTGAGACAACGAAATCTTTGAGCACCGTCGACAACTCCAAAGGTCAAAATGCGGCATAAAAATGTGAATAAGCTAGCTTTTTCATGCTTTTTATCATAACAAATTGTGTTTTTTTTACATGAAAATCAGTTTATTAGAGGGATCGACTCCGAAAAATAATATAAAATTCCAATTTTCTTACGCGAAAAACGGAACCTGCGCGCCTGCTTCCACCGTATCTGTGTTTGTGAATTTCAATGAATCTATGGTTCGTAAGAATACAAATTTAAAAGGGGAAAGAGGAGAGACAAAGAGAGAAAAGAGCGAGAACTCGTGTATGGCTGACATATAAAATGGAGACACATGATAATTTTTTCAAACCAACAAATGACATGCAGATAGGGACTACATTGACATTAACACATAGTCTAAACATTAAAAATATTGTCTTTTATTTGCAAAATTTAACAAGGGTATTTTTATCGGGCAATATTTCAATGATAGAGAGAATTATTATATTTTTTCAAAGTTTCAATATAAAGTTCGGCTTCTGACTGAAACTACGTAACTTTTTGGAATGTTTACATATATAAAGCCCATCACAAGAGGGCAGTAAATATCATGCGCGAACTTAGGTCACACTTTTTGACGGACGTCGGTAGTGGTAAGGCTTCCGATATTCTCGTCTTATCATTGATTTGAAGTAAATAAAGCCTTGGAATGTTATATAATCTGATTATATGATAAATTACGAATCTTATGACGTATGGAACATGATATATGTTGATCTGGATTTTTTGAAATATGCAAGAAAGAAAAATATCCGCGAACTTTGTCACCCCTTATAACACAAGCACCCCTGATACAAATTTGATATAGAAAAGTTACGCACTGTTTACATCACGTTCTTTAAAACTCAATTCAATGGAATTGTATGCAGGCATGAAAATCTCTTCAGTAACTAAATACCCACTTCCAACCCCGTAGCCGACCTTGCAAAACCTGACTGAAAGAAGATATGACAGCATATGGCCTAGCAAAGGCAGATGCTGAAGACCAGGGGCGGTATTCTGAACCCTGTGTTATTGTATCTTTTCTCTCATCTCATTGGCCGCGCCTGAGCTCATAGTTTGGTGCGCTTGTAATTGTGCTTATTAGTAATAACATGGCGCTTAATCCTCATTTGCATATGCGCACGAGAGATAATATGACAAGATAATTGGTATTCTGAAAATTGTTGTATCTTTTATCTTATCTTATCTTGCATGGTATTTACAACAATATTTACAACAGGTAGGGGTTGTTGTATCTTTCGTGGTGATATAATGGCGGCAATATTTCTTGCCCAGAACCAACTTTGTGCCAATAGACGAGTTAGAAGAAGATTATGTGTTGACCGGAAACATCACAGATGAGAACTTTCTAAGAATTTAAATTAAATGCTAGGATGATGATGATTTTAATGCTCTCATCTTAACCAATATAGTGAAAGCGTGATTTGTCGTCATGATCCACAAGGCATGCCACAGCGCAAATGATGACGCGCGTAATAAGCGCTCACATAACTAATTAAGCCCAAGATTAGTATGCGCTAGGCGCACCTTCAGACATGGATAAAGTATTTATATTGGTTGACCTACTTATCATGCTTATATAAAACAGATTTTGATTGGGAGGGTCCATACAAATGGGCGTGTCAACAGCGGTCAAAGATAAGATAGAGGCGGTCCTTCAAGAGATAACACAGGGATAAAATGATGTTCAGAATACCAACTTACAACAATATTAGCGCTGTGTTATCTCTGGGAGATACAACAAAAGATAACCGTTACACAAAACTTACAACAATGTTCAGAATACCACCCCAGAAGGCTTGGAGAAGGGCCATAGGGAATGAAACGTCCAATCAAACAACATAGGAAAGAACGGACACCAAAAGATGACAATGATGATGAAAGTGTGACTTACTACCTCGACATGCTTGTAAGAAGAAGAGCTTGGGCTTTCCATTCAAAGTCGGGCATCGATCAGAACAAAAGGGACCAACTATGTCCTCTATCTTCACCAGACACCCGTCCGTGCCACAAACGGATCCCTCTTCCCATGGGTGAGTATGGCGAAAATGAAGCAGTCGAACTGGAGTGGTTGTGTTTCCTTACTTGTTCAATCTTCTGCTGGATATCCTACAAAATTTGATGAAATAATAAGAACAATTACACCTTTTGTCCCTGAACCACAACAGAACTACACATGAATTTTGACATGCTAAAACATGGGGTCTGTAGGAGAGGAGGTATTCCTTACATCTGCATTACAAACAATGTTATTTACTTCTGTTGTACCATCATGGACCTGGTTCTACCATTAACCAACACTCAACGTCAAAAGATAATAGAGACAGTGGAATTATGCAATATTTTGACTAGTTCTTATGAAAAATATAGTATCAACATAGATTTCAACAGAAGGCCCTGTTTATGATGCTCTTAGAATTGCACATGTGCTCACCCTTTTTTTGAGATCATTGTGTACAACTACATCAAAGTCAAGCTGTGTGAAGATATTCTCTAAGTTGCGACAGTCTATGTCTGTCCCCCTCCTTGGCGGCATGGTTTTGAAGTTTTTGTTGTTGATGATGAGCGCTATACCTCTAGGTTTAGATTTCATTTTGTAGACCTATGGGAGAAAACATTCAATACGTTCAATACACTGGTAAATTTAATGCACTTATTAAATTTGAGATCTTGATGACAATTTGGCACGTTATTATTTAGAGATAATTAAAGTTGACCGAGTTCTGGTCATGCGCAATAGCATTATGAAGGAAACTGTCTGGAAGTGATATGGAAAAAGTTGATAATGCATAGTGTAAACAGAATATGTGCAACGTGAGTTTTGGAATCGACATAATGATAAGAAATTGAATCATCCTGGCTTGCTTAAAGTCACTTGCACTGTACATGTTAGTGTGCACATGGGACTACAACAACAGGTAGAAAAGGGGAGGGAAAAAGAGAGGGAAAGGAAGAAAATAAAAGAAACAAAAGGAAAAAGAAGGAAAGAAAGGAAAGAAAGGGAAAGAAAAGAAAGAGAAGAGAAGAAAGAAAGAGAAAAAAATAAAAAGAGAGAGGAGAGGAAAGAAAGGAAAAGCTAAAAGAAAAGGAGAAAAGGAAAAAAGAAAGAAAAAGAAACAAAAGCAACGGCAGCTAGGAGAGAGAGGGGGGAGGTAAGCCTAAGAGAGGAGGGGTGGGAGTAAAAGAGAGAGGGGGTTTCTTGGGTGGAGTCGCCTCGTCCAGGGAGCTAGAAAGACACGCAAAGATATGTTGCTGTTTCGGGTCAGCTCTGTAGGTATTCTTGCTCGATCCTCGTGTACTATACCAATACAGAAGTTTGAAGTCGATGAGATGTAAATGTCGGTCGGCCGACAATTTTTTTTTCTCCTTACGAACTGTGACTTTTTATCCGCTGTGACGACTTCGAGACAGACTACAACTATAATACCTGTTTTTTCTCGAAGTTTCGCTTTCCTATGATATCAGTTAAAAAAATCAGAGGTTTAAAATTTTCGGGCAAACTAATTCAAACAATGATTAAAGGTACTATGTCCCTTTTGCAGGCCCAAAAAATGAAAAGTTTAAATTCCAACGGCATTTGAAAGACAATACTAATTTAGAACTTCCCTAAAAAAAGGGGGGGGGGCTTGAAAATGTCTTTAAGTGGGAAAATAACGACTATTAGTTGTCGAATCGACTTAGGAGCTATAGAGCTAGTAAAGCATGGGCGTCAATCCTGAGGAGACGGGGGGACACCCCCCCACGAATTTTCAGGTGGTGAAATGTCCCCCCCCCCCCCCCATGATTTGGGGTTAAAATCTTCTCTCTTTTTTCTTTTTTCTTCTTTCTTTCTTTCTCTCTTTCTCTCTGTGTTGAGAAAAATCAAGCAAATCAGGCGATTAGATTTTATTAATAGATACGTCATTAATATTACATTCACATTACCGGAAGTTCAAACATTGGTTTAAGATGAAAAACCTTTCACCAACTGAAGAAAAAAAAACAAATTAATCCATGGTATCTTCCAAACCTTATGGCTGATTGTTCAATTGGAAAAGACAATTTCATCTATCTACCCCCCCCCCCCCTTGCGTTCTTGTTCCTGTTAGTTGAACTTAAGACTGTTTTTTTTTTTAATTTGGCAAAAATTATGCCCCAAATCAAGCCATCTATCCATCAATTTCAACAAAAAATCTTCAACTTCTGAGGGGGGCACATCCCCCTCAACACCCCCCTGCGTTCTTGTTCCTTGTTAGTTGAACTTAAGACTGTTTTCATTTTTAATTTGGCAAAAGAATGCACCAAACTGAGCCATCTATCCATCAATTTCAAAAAAATCTTCAACTTCTGAGGGGGTGTGCCCCCTCAGACACCTCCTGCGTTCTACTGTTTTCTTTTTAATTTGGCAAAAGTATGCCCCAAAAATCAAGCCATCTATCCTTCAATTTCAAAACAAAATCTTAAACTTCTGAGGGGGGCACCCCCCCCCTCAGACACCGCTCTTTCTCTAATATTTTATTGAAACGCCAAAGCTTCCGCGCGAAAAAATTCAGACAAGGTTTTAGAGTCGAGAACGGTACAACGAATCGTCTTCTTTCTTTAATAATTTAAGGAAAAGTCTCAGCTTTTTGGCCGCGCTTTGCGCGAGAGGAGAAACTGAATTCAGACAAATAGGGCTAATTAAGAGTCAAAGACGGTACAACGAATCGTCCTCTGTCTCTAATAATTTAATGAAACGTCTAAGCTTACGCGCTTCGCACGGGAGGAGGAACTGAATTCAGATAAGGGTTAAGAGTTGAGAACGGTATTTTCCTCGAAGTTTCACTTTCCTTTAATATCGCTAAAGAAATCAGATGTTTAACATTTTCGGGCAAAACTAAATTCAACAAGGATTAAGAGTAAAGAGCGGTACAACGAATCGTCTTCTTTCTCTAATAATTTAATGAACGTCTTTGTGAATATATATCTATATATATAATATTTTTATGTATTTTGGGGGTATTTTTTGTAGCGTAGTAAAGGTGCTGTTAGCACTGACAATATCTTTGAGTTTAAAGTTTTACTTAGGCTTTTGTCGTTGTTGAAATCTTGTCAAGTTTTCCGTGACTTTTGATTTTTGTGTGTGTCGTTTGCTGAGAAGAACATTTCTTTTATAACTTGTAAGATATTTTTTTTTGGTACTGTCTTAGTTGTTAAGTATCTTTACGTATATGTGATACAATATGTAAGGACAATGATTTGAGAGAATTCCATCCACTTACAAGTTCACTATCATCCACCATAGTTTGTGGATACGAGCCTGAGGCATCCATTTGAGTTGAGCTGTAGTCACCAGTGCTATCTCTGGCAGAGGCCAACTAAATAAAGATGAAAATAATAACATGATCAATAATAGGGAAAGTTCATGGTGTATGGTCATTCATCCTCCCATATGGGTGTGTTTATGGTTGTTTAAAGCGTTCCATGTCCTACATGGTAGATAAAATGTGAAGCATGTTTGAACCGCAAGGAAAAATAAATAAAAACTGTCTTTTATTTTGCAGTTCACTATGGTTAAAACCGACCAAAGCGCACTATATCAAATATTATTTGGGAGAAGAAGAAGAAGAAGGAGAAGAAGAAGATAAGAAGTAGAAGAAATAGTATAGAGAAGAAGAGGAAGAGAAAGATGAGATTTTGATGTGCCTAATACAAGAAAAACGGTTGAATAATCTTGTTAACAGTGTTCTTATCTAAGCATTTATTCTTGTTGTCTAATTTATGTATACAGTAAATCAATCGAGAGCTTTTAAATTTCAATCTACCAAGTACTAACCAAGTGGCACTTGCTGGGTAGGCTGACCAAACGGACCCGGTCTATTGTCATGAGGTGTCGTAGCCTGGGTCTGGCCCATCTGGCCCTGTGAAGGTCCAGACGCCGAGTATCCTAGCAACTTTGCTAAATCTACTTGGTTGGACTCGATCAGGGACTCTACTAGACTAGTGAAGGCCTTGGGACCCCTCGTCCTCTATCTCCATCAAGAGCGCCAATTCTTCTCTCTCTCTCTCGTGCTGCGCTCTGACTTTGATAATTAATATAAGGAGAAAGATTGCTGAATTTATTTCTTTATTACAAAAAAATTGAATATGATTTTTAAAAGAAAAATCCACTCATTTGCATATTTATGGTAATTTATGCAAAACGCCGGTAACGAAATTCACATTTTTACCCATAAATCATATATTCTTCATATTTAAAGGTAGTACAAAGTTTTGGAAAAATTTGAAAAATTGGCTGGATAGTGATTTTTTTATAATTTTGCTATATTCGGATGTATTATGTAGTATACAATGTAAGCACTAGAAAATTTAGCCCCTAAAATACTTCTGCTTTCGAGAAAAATTGAATACCGGTATAAACATTTACTAGTGCTCTCCGGTCAATTTTGATAAATTTCAAATAGCGCCTACGGCCATACAATGGTAGCTGCGACCATGAACTCTCAGAATATGTAGTTGTGATATATAATTTCCAAGCGGGAATAGCCAATTGGTCGATTTTAGTCAAGAAACATTGTTTAAAAGCTCAATTAAGATCTTGACCTTGAGAGGGAGCTATACAACAGCAAGAATTTATCATTTGCAATTTCATCACTTTAGACTCGATTTCAACCGCGACAACGATCACTGAATATTGTAGGATTGCATATGCTTCCAATATAATCATTTGAACCAAATTCATGACCCCATACCAAAAACTTTGTATTACCTTTAAGTAACAATCAAAGAAACCAGACTTTCAAATTTCAAATTTCAATTGAAAAAACACCGAAAGATATTAAGGACGGCATATGTTTTCCTCTTGAAACGCAAAAACATACCGCTGGGTGTGGCAGCTGAATATACAATGGCGTCTTATTTTGTTTACACAACAAATTCCTTTATTTTTGTATCGCTGCATTTGTCATCAAAATAAAAACATGCGCGGGGTTAAGAGTGAGGCAATAGATTGTACATTTAGCCTGACGGTAGTGAAGTAAGTGAAAGAACTCAAGAGAAGATAAAAAAAACAGGCACTGAAAATGTGTGAGATGTCATGGGACATCGTCTGTTGTGCAAATCAAGTCCATCCTGTGATCTCACACATCTCAGCAGCGTTCGGAGATCTCTTCTGGTGCTATGTCGGGCTGTATTTAAAGGACAAGTCCACTCGAAAAATAACTTACTTTCAATATAAGCAGAAAAATCAGACAAACCAATAAAAAAGGTTTAGCAAAATCGGATAACTAATAAGAAAGTTATGAATTTTTGAAAAAGTATGTAAAACTATTGAACAATGAGAATCACAACACAAATTGCCAAATTGGTTATCAGTTTGTGACGTCATGTCCTCACTCTTTATCAATTGCTTTATTAGTTTAATCCCATTAATTTCCCTTTTTATTCCCCAAAACTTGATTTACACCCGTGCCTTTGCCCCCTTTATAAGATTTGTATCATATTGAGTGCATGACATTTCTCAAAATCTTTTATGAGCTTTGAAGAATTTATACTATTTTCTAAATATTGTATATTCATAATTATAAGTAAAAAAAAATACTCTATATTAGTGCATCCACACAAAAACATATTACTATCAATCTAACTTGGATGCTGGTGTGAAGAAATGAGATTCTTAAGGAGAAAATAGGAAATTTATATCATCAATATAAAGAAAATAATTAGTGGATAGTATGGACATGACGTCACAGACTCAAGAGTGAGTTGCCAATTTGTCTAGTGATTTTCAAAGTTTTTCATGTCATTAAAATTCATAACTTTCTTATTAGTTATCCGTTTTGCTCAAACTTTTTTTGATTGGTTAGTCTGATTTTTCTGCTTCTATTGAAAGTAAGTTATTTTTGGAGTGGACTTGGGCTTTTAACGTTTGGTAATTTATAATAATCAGTACTTCGAATGATTCCAAGCATTAAATTTTGATAACCTTGCCGAATCAAAGTTTCAACTTGCAATAATGAAAATAAAGTTAGTTTTTAAAATCAATGAATATCTACTTTAAGTAACACTAAACCTTACCCTAACCCTAACCGCTAGGTCTTCAACGTTGATGTACATAAACCCTATTGGTAGGGTATTTTAAAAATTTGTGTTTGATTGGTACAAATGTATCTTACGGAGCTAGTATGACATTCAACTTACATTAAACTTCTCTATGTGATGATTTTCAAAGATGCGTCGAGCAATAAGGCCAGAGGTCACGCCTACAAAGTCCATGTCCGTTGAGAGGATTACATTTTTTCTCTTTATGGTTTCTCTATCCGCCTGCTCCATTCTTAGCTGTTTCCTTGTACTCTGACTGATTTCTAAGAAAATCTGATAAATGAAAATGATATGGTAGTGAATAGTGAGTGATTATGCTTGGGGAAAGCTCCATAAAAAACTCTGGAAAATGTTGTGTTTGACCAGTTAGAGAGAAATCAAATAAACAAAATGACACCAGAAAGTTATTCAAGGAGTTCTGTAAGCATGACGACATGACATGGTACAAACATTGAATAATTATAATGCCCTCAATGGAGAAATATATCATATAGATACAACCAGGAAGTTGGAAAGAATGGACATACCGTCCAAGAGGCCCCTTTGAAGTAGTCAGTAACACCACGAGTCTCCCCCCCCCTACAGTCCCTCTAACTTCAAGTTAAATGTTGTGTGACATCCAAGGGCAGCTAGTCCAAGCTATTTTGATTGTGACGTACGGGACATTCAGAGACTTTAAACAAGAAATAACAACATATTAAATTATTTGTATGGCTATCTTTTGGTACGAGTCTGTGGCTATTATGGGCTAGTTCATTTGTGGAAATTTTTAGTTCTGACCAACTCTTTAATTACTGTGCTGCGTGACGTACGGTTTGCAGCGTCCCGTGATTTAGTTGATTTTTGGTATGTTTTAGTAGGGTATCTCCACGCTGGAGTTACGGGTCAAAGTATGGATATGATTCTGAATTAGCGCCAAATTTTTTGATCGCGACATCTCTTGGAATCCTTCAACGATAAATTTTCTAGTTGAACCAATTTGTAGTAAAATATCCTTACATTTGGTAATAATTAAAATAAATAAATTTGTGTAGAATATGAGAAATCATAGGTCGAATAACACATTTCATAATATCGTCCAAGTCTCCGCGAACTTTGGTCACCCCTTCATACTACAAAGTGCAGTGGACGCTCTAAGCCCTCCCTTAATTTCCCCGGCCACCGGCCACCCACAGCTCACCCCAGCAAGCAGACCAGCCAGTGACAGGCCAAGCGGGCGGCTTATTATGCGTCGCCGGTGTGACCGCGTAGAATGTTACCCGCACCGATCGTCCGCCTATTAGAGATCGATCGAGAGCGGACGATCGGTGCGGATTTTATCCGCGCAGAATGTCCGTGTCGGACATTCCGTGCGCGCCTCAAATGTCCGACGGACAATCTGTGCGGAAGAGGTCTCGCACCAATAGTCCGCCTGCCGCACCGAATGTCCGTACTCTAGTCCACATGTATACACATTCAATACAAGTATAATTATACTTAATGAATGAAACAACTGGATAACCCATATTCAGCTTTGCCAGCTAGCTAGGGATGACACTACAGGTCTTCCCGGCGCGGATCAAGGGGGGGGGGGAGGGCCTTGACCCCCAACCGCCAACACAAAATGACGAGAGAGAGAGAGAAGGTAAAGTGGAGAGTAAGGGAAAGGAAGAAGAGGAAGAAGAAAAGAAAAGGGGAAAAAAGGAGATCGGGGCGAAAGGCCTTCGCCACCCCCCCCCCCCCCCCTCAGCAAAAGAAAGAGAGAGAGAAGAGAGAGAGAGAGAAGAAGGAAAATAAGGGAAAGGGAAAGAAGAGACAAAGGGAAAGGAAGAAGAAGAAAAAGGTAATAGAAGAAGATCGGGGGGGCTTTACCTCCCAGGCTGTTCCCCCCCCCCCCCCCCCCCCCCAGCAAAAAGAAAGAGAGAAGGAAGAGAAGGGAAAGAAAAAAGGGAAAAGAGGAGATAAAAGGAAGAAAAGAAAAAAAGGGGGATATCAGTTGCAGTTTTCCCGCCAACAAGTTGGGGATCGGGGGGAGGGGGCAAATAGCCCTTCCCCCCCCCCCCCCCCCCCCCTTCTACAGCAAACTTAAAAGAGAGAGAAAAGAAGGAAAGGGGAAGGGAAAGAAAAGAAAGGTACGGGAGATAAATTGTGAATTTTTCCCACCAACGCGGTGTGGATCGGGGGCGAAAGGCCTTCGCCTGCCCTACCCTGGCCCCTCAGCAAACAAAAAGAGAGAGAGAGAGAGAAGGAAGGAAAAGAAGGGAAAGGGAAAGAAGAGAGAAGAGGAAAGGAAGAAGAAAAGAAAAAGGGGTCCGACAGGGCCTTGCCGCCCATGCTGTTGCCTCCCCCACCTCCCCCCCCCCCCCCACCGCAAAACAAGAGAGAAGGAAGGAAAGGGAAAGAAACAAAAGAAGAAAAGAAAAGAAGGGATATCAGTTGCAATTTTCCTGCAAACAAGATGTGGATCGCGGAGAAAGGCCTTTGCCTCTGCCTCCCCGACCACCCCACCCCCTCCCCGCAAAAAAAAGAGAGAAAGAAGGGAAAGGGAAAGAGGAGAGCCAAAATGGAACACAAAAGAGGAAGAAGAAAAGAAAAGGGTGAAAAGAAGCAGAGATCAGTTGCGATTAATCCCACTAACATCGTGTGGATTGGGAGGAGGGGGCGAAAGGCCCCTGCCTCCCTCAGCAAACTTAAATGAGAGAGAGCGAAGTAAGGGAAGGGAAAGGGGGAAAAAAGAGGAAGAAGAAAGGTAGGGGAGATCAGTTGCAATTTGTCCCGATTTGTACCACCCCCCCCCCCCCTCAGCAAAGAGAGAGAGAGAGAGAGAGAGAGAGAAGGAGAAGGAGAAGGAAGTGAAAGGGAAAGAGGAGAGAAAGGGACAGAAAACAAAGAGGAAGAAAAGAAAAGGAATTAAGGAAGATTAGTTGCGATTGTCATTGTACAAATGTATTTATACATTCATTTATTTATTCTTGTTTGATAACAAAAATATGAATATAAACTCACAATAGCAACAAAATTAAATGTAGAAGGAAACTATCTTGCTGAGAGCAAGAAGCGCAAAAATGATCATGCATTTGCATGTACATGTAAGTGTATCATTAATATCATTCATATTGTTTAATTACATCTTGTGAAATAGTATGCATTCAAGCTTTTGGGATTTTGTTGGTGTATTTTGTATGAAAGAAAGCATTTTGAGCTTATAATGCACATGTTGCAATTTCAGGTGCAACTTAGTGTTCAAATATGGGTTACGCACGGCCAGGCATTAGTGTAGGAGTTGGGTGTCGATCCCGGGGGGGATGGGGGGATATACCCCCCCCCCCAATATTTCAGGTGGGGGGATGGCCTGTACATTCATCCCCCCCAATAATTCACCATAAAAAAAGGAGAAAAACTAATGATGAGAGCCAGATGGGAGTAGTTAATGGTTATTACTTGCAAGATGACCATCAATATAGGCCTACACATGTTGCTATCTCATTTTCATAATACATACGTAAATGAGACAACCGTATATGAAACAAGAATATATTTAATTCTCGCTCATACGGCTTCATCAGGAATTGATGCATTTATTCAATTTATTCAATCAACAGCATCATAGAAATGCAGGGCGCCAAATGCTAAGCCGCAGCGTTAAAAAGCAACGAGCTAAATGTTAAGCGCGAAGCGAAAAAGTGCAAAAAAGGAAGTAGAGAGTGGGAGAGAGAGACAGAGAGGATACAGGCGCGTAGCCAGGGGGGCAATGGGGGCGGTCCCCCCCCCCCAAAAAAAAAAAAAAAAAAACGCCGGCCAATGATTAAGAGTCGAGAACGGTACAACGAATCTTCGTCTTTCTCTAATAATAAAATGAAACGTCAAAGCTTCCGCGCTTCGCGTGGGAAGGGGGGGGGGAAACTAAATTCAGACAAGGATTAAGAGTCGAGAATGGTACAGCGAATCGTCTTCTTTCTTAAATAATTTAATGAAACGCCAAAAGAAACTGAATTTTTGACAATGATTAAGAGTCGAGAACGGTACAACGAATATAATTCGTCTTTCTCTAATAATATAATGAAACGTCAAAGTTTTCGCGCTTCGCGCATGAAGGGGGGGGGGGGGAGGTGGAACTGAATTTGGACAATAATTAAGAGTAAAAAATGGTACAACGAATCGTCTTCTTTCTTTAATAATTTAATGAAACGTCAAAGCCTCCGCGCTTCGCGCGGGAAGGAGGGGAGGGGAAGGGAACTGAATTCAGACAAGGATTAAGAGTCGAGAATGGTACAACGAATCGTCTTCTTTCTTTAATAATTTAATGAAACGTTAAAAGAAACTGAATTTAGACAAGGATTAAGAGTCGAGAACGGTACAACGAATCGTCTTCTTTCTCTAATAATGTAATGAAACATTAAAGCTTCTGCGCTTTGTGCGGGACGGGGAACCCCCCCCCCCCCTCCCTGCACCCACCCCTCTAGGGAGCGCGCTTCGCGCGCTCTGTAAGTGATTCGCGTGCTCACTACCGCCCCCCCTAAAATAAAATTCTTGCTACGCGCTTGAGAGGATAATAACCCAAGTTGCAAGCCCATGTGGGACCTACATGGGTCCCATATTCTCTGAAATGTTATCTTTATTGAGGGTGACTTGAAAAAGTTAATAACTTGTAAGGAATGGGGTGCAACCTGCCACATGCTTCTACCTCTTGGTTGCTTTGATCCGTTGCCGAAAATATTTTGGCACCTTTCATCCCCCCAACCACGGATACAAATCGACACCGTTGGTAGGAAATCTTCAAATGTTAATCAGGTATATGACTAAATTACTTGTCTGTTGCCTTACGAAAAAAATTATATTTAGTCAGGCCTGAATTGAGTCGCAAAACAATCATTGTGTTAAAAGGAAAAAAACATATTTGATGACATTCGAAATTCCCCAATAACCAATACGATTGGAGAGCGAGTACTCGTTTTGTTTTTCTTCAAAAATTACTCAACTATAAGTATAGGCCTGATGTGTCGTCAGGGGCGTCGCTAGACCTTTTTCAGTGGGGGGGGGGGGGGGGGGGGTATAGAGGCCAACGATTACCGACAAAACAAGCCACCAATTACCGACAAAATTAAATGTCCCAATATCTACAAATGTAACCCTATAAACCCGAGGCCAAAGGCTAAATTGTTATGCGCAAATGGTCATTTTCGTCGACGACATAAATATACAAATTATTTCGTCAACTTAGTAAGCATCATAGCTATATATTTTAATGCAGG